GCCCGAGAAAAACCAACCCCGAGCGACCCCGGGCCTCTCCTAAGTGTCGTAGATTAAACCATGGGACTCGGTTGTGGCCTGCCGAACGCTCCTAATGGTCCTCTAATGGTGGTTCAAATTAAACCCCCATGATGGTTTTGTCTAGACTGACCACGAGGAATTCCCTTTTTAGGTCGACGACGCGGGAGATGCGCCGGCGCCCGCCGACAAGCCCAGGACGGGCCTGTCGGCGGCCTTTGCCGCCGTCGACGGACGCCTCGTCGTGCTGTTCGAGGCCGAGAACGCGAAGACCGTCGCCGCGTGCGACGGGTGACTCCGCGCTCGCCGTCGTCTCCCGCCCCGCGCGTCCCGCGCCACAGAGCACCTCGCGACGATCTTTTAGCAGAAACTCATTAAAAGAGGCTAGATCGACGAGGAATCGGGGTGTTTCGGCGGAACAACGGTCCTTTAAACGCGGCTATGGTTTACCCCAAAATCGGGGTCTGCTGGGGGTCCCTCCGCGTGGCGGCAGCCGCCTCGTGCTCCTCAAGACGCCGTCGAAGCTGCGCAACTGCGACCAGACGGCGCTCATCGTCGACCGCACGGGCCACCTGCCCAAGGAGAAGACCAACAAGAAGCGCGACGGCGAGGGCGATGTGGCAAAAACTGATTTTCGATCGCCAAAAAAGGCGCTGCGCGCGCGCGAAAATTTTTTTGGGGGGCCGGTCTCTAGTCCACGACGAAGGTCCCCTCTGGGCCCCCAGACAAAAAAACCGCGTCGGAAACGGCCGCTACCGACGCGCTCGGCGCCGCCAAATTCGGCCGGGGGGTGCATGAGGGAAGCTGCGCTTCATTGCGAAGCCCGCGCCGCAGGCGCCAGGCCAGATCTTCTGGCCGAAGGGCGTAGCTTTTGTCCGAAGGTTGCGAGACAGCCATACGATGCGCTCCGCTCGATTTGTGTGTCACATCAGTGCGCAAAATCTAGAGCCTCTCACGCGGCGAGCCCGGGCTTGCCGGAGAGCCCCTACGGAGAGGATCGTGGGGAAAATACGCTTTTCCCGGAACGACGTCGTAACGGCGAACGCGGCGGGCGGTTTCGCGTCGAAAGCGCTCATTCGGGCCCGAGGGGAGGTCTGCGGGCCCCGCGGAGCGATCGCAGCATATGTACACGCTCGGGGGGGTCGGGGAAGGGGTGCGCGCCGGCGGAGACGTCGCGCGCGCCCACCTACCCCGCTTGCGGCCGACCGAATGTCGGGGGGAACGCGTCCGGCGGCCGCCGCGCGCGTCCCATGGCTCGGTGACGCGCTCGCAGCGCTTGCAAACGCTCGGGGGGCTCGGGGAAGGAGTGCACGCCGGCTGAGACGTCGCGCGCGCCCACCTCCCCCGCGCGCGGCCGACCGACATTTGGGGGGGGAACCCGTCCGGCCGCCGCCGCACGCGTTCCAGGCCCCCGTGCAGCGCTCGCAGCGCGCCCAAACGATCAACGGGGTCGGGGAAGGGGTGTGCGCCGGCGGCGACGTCGTGCGCGTGCAGCTTCCCCGCGCGCGGCCGACCGACATTCGGGCGGGGGGAACGCGTCGGCCGCCGCCGCACGCGTTCCAGGCCCCCGTGCAGCGCTCGCAGCGCTCCCACGCGTTCGGGAGGGTCGGGGAATGAGTGCTCGCCGGCGGCCACGTCTTGCTCGACATCTCTCTCGCGCTCGCGGCCGAGCGTCTGTCGGGGCGAACGAAGCGCTCCCGATCGCCGCCGCCGCCGCCGCGAACACCTTCGCAGGTCTGCGGCGCCGCGCGCTCCGGGGCATGCGCGCGAGAGAGCATGAGTCGCGCGTCGGACGCTGCGACGTTCGTTCTTGAAACTGACCCCGCGCGAACGTTCGTGCCCTTTCGGGCCGTTG